CAACAATACTAAACAATTCACTGCTTATGGCCCACAATTACTTTCGAACTGACGTGAATCAGGTGTTATACTGACCATCTAGCTCTCTTTTTGATCGGGATACAATAGCCATCCCTTTCATTCCACGTAGTATTGCCATCTTATTTATACTGTCGTTTTTAGCTGTCTATATTTCATTTTCCGTCTAGTCTCCCTCGCATCCGTTTTTAGTGTGACGACCGACACTAAAAACGGATGCGAGGGAGACTATTTTCCGTCAAACAACAGTAAAGAAACCAATAACAAATAGAACAAACTTTTAAGATTCAAAAACGAACTTGAACTCCTTTATTTAACACAGGATAAAGTCCACTTAGCAAATTATTGAAAACTTATGATCACACTTCAAAAAGATGAAAATTAAAAACAGGGAATATCATAGAAATAGCAGTTACTAAACCATGTAGTATGCATCAATTAACTGGAAATATAAAAATAAATAATTCACCAATTTCTATACATCGGTTTACTGCTCAAACACAAAGTATTTAGTCGAGGTTGCAAGGTTCAAATTTGAGTATCCTTTTGAAAGTACCTTGTCGCCTTGCTTGAGCGCTTYGTGTTTGAACAGTGAACCGATGTACGGAAAATGGTGAATGAAAATATACACGAACAAAAATGAAAACAAGAATAGAAACAAAATTTAAAAAATTAGATCGCGGGATTATAAGATAAGGATTACGTTTTTAAACACGAGATATTGATGAGTAAAAACATATAAGTATTCGATATATACATATCAAGCAAGAGAAAATGAACCAAGAGAAGGAATCCCCGTGCCCCATCATGTGCACACTTCGATGCTATTTTTAGAATTATTGATGCTATTTTTAACTCGTTACCATACCCGCGCGATAATCATGCTTCCCTTTAATGCCTCGCTTTTGAACACGAAAAGCGCCATATTTCGTTTCGTCCACGATAAAAACACAGGCTTTTGTTTACTGCAAGACTGGAAGCCGCCTACCCTCAAGAAATCAACCAATCAGGTTCTTCGCTCAAAATATCTCCAAGCTAAAAATAGCATCAAACTGTGCACATGATRGTTACAAGGCTATATAGGTAGGATTCCTTCTCTTAGTTCATATTCTCTTGTATCAAGTCTATAAATAAAGAAATATTACATACTATAGCAGTAATCATATGGATATAGAGCTAAATAGATAAAATATATACACCTATTTCAGAAATCGTTGTCGCACCAAAAGCCTCAAGCAACAAGCCAAGACCGCAGAGAACGCCGGTACTTTTAGCTGTAATTAGTTTATTCATGGTGCATTTTCATTTATTGACTTCACAAATTGCTCCAAGCAAGGCTGCTTGAGATGATAATTAGTGGAGAGCTATAGCCACTTGCATGAACCATGAATAAAATAAATTATAATTAAAAGTACCGACGTTCTCTGGAGCCTTGGCTTGTTGCTTGAGGCTCTTGGTGCGACAACGATCTTCGAAATAGGTGTATATAAACTCAGGTCAATGATCTCAAAACGGAATTTAACGATTACAAATAAGCGGAGGCAAACAAACCAAAACAGATAAACAATTTTGCATCGAAAATTATCAAAGTGTCAAATAATTCAAACCTGCTATAAACTTTGTCTGATATGGACTACTCTTAATTCAATAGACCTTATTCGTGGTGTGACAATGTTTTCCCAATTCAACGTGACAAACCTCTGGGGGAACGAAGAGCTATTGTTTTGCGACTCGTCGGGATATCATCGTTATTCCTTTCGTATCCTTTGGGATACTCATGAATTTTTCGAAGAGTAAAAACAAAAGAAAATGAATCCTCTGGAGGTTTGTCACGCTGAATTGGGAAAACATTGTCACACCACGAATAAGGTCTATTGCAGGGACAAAACCAATTTAAAAACTTTCGCAATTTCTCGTAAGCTAATTACATGACAAATGGTTAGATACAAAATTTGATTTGTATATTTGTCGTTTTTAATATTTTTTCTTTATTTCTCTCAGAACTGTTAAAAAAAGCGCGTTAACTGCAGCTAAAAATCATGTCAACTGATCGAGTGTAATAAAAACAGTTGTATCTAGCTTATTTTAGATCGAAAATGACAGACATCGCTTTTCTCTCTCTTTTCGTTTATTTATTTAGTATACAATCATGAGTTATTGAAGGCTAACCAATCAGAAAGGCGTTATCTCATTGGTCAAGAACTAAAGCAAATTAAAAATTAAAACAAATGAAAAAATTATGAGTTAATTAAAAAAAGGTACTCAATCGATATTTACAATAGGACAGAATTCATCATTATAGCTATATGAAATTTTGAAGATTTCTTTTTACTTTACGCTGACGTTCTCCTCTCAAGGTCTTCTGCCATTGAAGGAATCAACTTGGAACAGACTTGGGACAGATTGCAATGAGCTAAAAACGCTGGTGGATCGATGACTCTTTTTTTCGGCGTATAGACAGCTGCTTTAGTTTCGTTTGAAGTAAGTTTACCATTACGTACCAAGTTAGAATATTCTAAAACTATAGCCTTAGACTTTGCTTCAATTATATTGCAACTTTTAAGAATAA